ACATGATCACCTGGCCGGAGTATATGCGCGTTGTGGAATCACCAATCCTTACGTGCTTCTCGGCGAGAAAAGGTTGCAGTGGCGATTCCGCCCTCAGTACTTCCATTCAGAAGATGCGAGAAAACGTTACCTCGCTCGGTGGCCGAATCATGGGCTATATGGTTGCCAAGTCAGAGGGCCAGGGTCCGAACTGGCACGGTCACGTGACTGCCCTTTCGGTGGCTCCGGAATATCGTCGAGTCGGGCTGGCTGGAAGACTCATGAAGGGATTTGAGGACACCTCTGAAAGGTAAGCTGAGACCTTAAGCTATAGGACAATTATTCCGTGCATATGTGCTCTGATCCGTTCATTTTTTTAACTGCTTGTCCTGCTATTCTCTAATATAAGGTGGTTTAGATCAATTTTCCTTCCCTCTTCAAATAATCTTGCCACTGTTAGTGAAGAAACCAACAGCAGCGGGGTCTGTCCCCCTAATCTCTAATTTCAAGCTTACTTAGGAACGGTGCTGTTCAAACTTTTGCCTCAACGAAATTAAGTTATTTGTACTGTGCATAAGTACCACTCCTCTGCTCAATTTAACTTCAAGTCATATCGTATTATTATTCTGAAGATGTCAATCCTTCTATCTTTTGAGATTGAAAAAGTTTCCATTGGTATGGTAAACGACAGCACTACGTCCACTTGGATTTTCGGTAGATCAACTAATTTGTGAGTTTACAGTAAGTGGCTTATATCATAAAATGTTGACAGACATTCTGAAATATGTTTTCGATTGGAAGTGGAGGCTTAGATAAGGTTGTAGTACTGATTATTTTGCACTAAAATTTCATGGTATTTCAGTCATCAGGATACCAAATTTGAATAAGCTGCTTCCGGCCGCCTACAAAAACCACACTCAGAACACATGACTACTTAAGTAGTGGGCATTTTCATATTAATGTTTAATGTCATTATAAACTCGAATATTATTTTTCAAATACATCAGTAAAACCTTTCTTTATTTAGAAAATGACACCCTCTTTCAACTTTAAGCTTTGAAGAATAGTAACTTGTAATTATGATGACTTCGAAGACTTCAAAATGTCCATTCATTAATAATCGTATATGAACGTTTATTAATGTTGTTTGTGAAGTATACGAAATAGTCTGAATTCAGTGCAGAATTTTATTAGTCATATAGGTCTAAAAAGCGTAGCTAAATATATGAGTTTCCTTATACGAAAAGTCCATAGCATGTAGTTTGGAGACCCTAGGCGCAAGTGCAGCTGCAGTTTGAGTTTAAAATTATTCGGGAATTTAGAAAAAAATTCTAAAGGGAAGGGCACCCTTTCTTCAAGTATAAATTTAAGGAAACAATTTACCACCAAATGAGTATAAGAAGGGATATTTTGTGTGCTTCCCATTTATATTTGGATTTATATGAGCATCGAGAGTCAAGGCGAAAATTCATAATACCTAAGCTACCATTTTTTTGTGGAGAGCAGTTTTTGTGGGTGGTTGGAAAGAAGCTCATCCAAAAGCCGGCATCTATTCTTTGTGTTATGCTGTTCGATAATCAGTATTACAACCCCAGCTAAGTAATCATCTCTAATTGTTAACACATTTCATAGTTTTGGTTAAAATTTTATGAGACAGACCAGCTACTGTCTGCTAGGATACCGCTGGACAAACCAGCTGAGATGATTTCTGGACCTTCGTCCGGCACGGTATAATTGCTGGCAATACTGCAGTGATGCACCAAGGATGTGCAATTCTTATAGGCACAGGCAGATATTTCGCCTGGCTACCGGCATCACATTGATGCTAGCCTCAGCGAATTTTTGAGATAGAAGATGTAGGTGATAAAGAATCGAAAGTCAATGGCCGGTGACTTCAGTGGTGTCACCGTCTAATTACACCCGTTGGAATCCCCATGGAAGAACACAATAAGGAGGGCGTAACTTTGGAATCCACCCGAAGGAGGGTTTATTGTGTACAAAACCCGCAGTTGCTTTCTCGGGTGGCATTTGCTGCTGGCTGATCTCCAGCGCGCTGAATGTTCCCACTTCGGGGCAAAGCCCGGCAATGGGGCGGACTGTCGTTGACCTTGTCAATCCTTTTGCAAATCACTGTCTGAGATGCGACGGCGGCTTGTAAGTGATAAACGCGTTCGTTTGCGACATGATTAGGCGCATGGGGATAAGGTCACTTGCCGTGGCGAACCTTAGTGGCCCTCGCGGAACTGTATTACTTGGGCACGTGCGTGGACTCGTGTACGTCCGTATCCTGTCCAGTGGTTAAGGTCATCGCTTGGGCACAACCACCGCGAAAGGATATGACCTTGAGGGCAATTCGCATTGACGAAGGAATAATTGAGGCAGTTGGTGGCAGGCACGACGCCTCAGGAGAGCCTGCAAGGTTGCTAGCATTTGGTCAGCCTAGACCTCTTACAATATTGACAGCAAAGCCTCTTAAAATCTAGTGTAAATGCTTACAATAAATTCATTTTCCTCTTTTGGATTACTTTCCTATCGAGGCGTCAGCCAGCAATTATGCATGCACAAAACCACATTTGGAGTGAAAACTACTCACTGCATTTGTACTCTCTATGCTGTCGTGGACTTTTAATTGTGTGATCACAATCCGTTTGACCCCCAACCGCACTGTTAACCGCTCTTCATTGCCGTCTATGCATCTATTCCATTTGATTTCCCTAGTCCGTATTCGTATTGAACTGCAAGTTATATATGTACCCAATGATCGTATCTTCTGCATATTGCAACTCCCTGTGTACGAATTATCTGTATCTAATGTCTGTGTTAATTAGTTCGAGAATGGATCCGAAAATTCAGGCATATAAATTTATTTTTCAAGCGATCGTGTTTACTTCTCATAACCAAAGACCGTTTACGGTTGAACAATTGGTCACTAATTTAATGAAGTCAGTAATTTCTTCATGCTTTGCGCCTTATTACTTGTTCATATTTTCTTCTTGAAAGCAATGTTTCAGCGTTACTTTGCTGATATGGTCAATAACCGAATGGTGGCTTGAAAATCCTATGTCTACCCCCGCTATATTTGGTGTCTATATATTTGCTTGCTCTCGGAAGGCAGAATGTGTATATTCTTGCTGAATGATCCGTGGGTTTGAGCGAAAAATGTGAGCTGTTACCGAAAAAATGTACGTCACAGAGCATCTCGAACGGTAGAGTGACTGATGTAAAAAAAATTCGACCCCCTTTAAACCCCACTTACTATCGTCGTGACAGTACGCATTTCCCCTCTACCGCATCGTTTCTGCACTGTTTTCTCCCGTTAGCAAGCGAACACTACGGCTAGTTGTGTAGTTTAAGGACTAGCTTCCTACCTACTCAGTCGCGTACTTGGTTCCTTACGGAAAACGTGTTAACTCTTGGTTAGTAATATTATCTCCCATTTATCTTGCGTGGTCGTAGATGGACAGTCAATATCCATCTTGTTCTCTCCAGAAGTTGATTGTTGGCCACAAACAGCTATCACCGTTAGGCAGATGCAGTCAGTGCCCTAGTTTTCAGTAGTTGCTGTTGTGTGTGGCACTCTCGGGCAATAATTTTCCTGGTCACTTCGCAGTACCAACGGCTACTGTAATGCTGATACTGCTCTTTGTACCGAGTCCCTCGTATCCGCGGTGAATTCTTGATTTAAAAAACGCTTTTTGTGGTGCTATTTTTCATTAAAGTGGAACCTTTTTCCATCACTGGGATTCTGGCTTTCCAGAGTTCTTTGTGGATATCGCGCACACTGAAAGTGGCTGTGGTTTCTGGCGCTTGGTGGTAAGGGAACGCTGCCGAACTCCACATAACTCCCCGATCCTCCTCTATTTCTGGACTTCGCGTCAGTTTTATCATTCTACGTGGAAAATCAACACAAGTTTTAAATATCGGGAAAACCTCTAGTCTTGTGAATCTCTAATGGCCACAAAACTAACAGATCTGTCAGCTAATGTTCTTGTACCCACAGATCATTCATCCTCCAGATACTATAAATCGGTCTTTGACAACAAGGTCATCTTTGTCAAGACGTGGACTCAACTACAATAGGCACTGCCCATTTATGACTCCAGCTATGTAGTCTGTCCTCCAACTGAGGCGTCGTTTGTGTCGAAGTCTTGTAATTGGTGGAGTGAATGGCCCTTAAGTCTGCTAACTCGAAATGTCAGCACGATAGACTTCATCACGCATTGAAACCAAAAATAATACATATTTGTTTTTTTTTAAACCAGGATACGTCATGCAGTATCTTCCTTGCAGTTAACGTAAAAAAATAAAGCTCGGCGCCTGAAGTTGAACTAATCCAGGTCCACTGCATACTACCGGTTTGGGGGGATCCTTCGCCGTTTTAAAACCGAGGCCCTTTTCGCTTTAGTAGTCAACTACGTCATTTACCCAGATAACTAGTATGCCTACTCATAGGTAATTCTACCATGTCAATTCTCAGCTAGTTGCTATATGGAGGGGAAGATTAGAACTTGAAATATATATTTTAAGAGATAAGGATGCTCTTTTTGATGCATGGGGTTAGACGAACTCGACTGCCCGTATTGGGTCTCAATAAACTGATTCAACAACTGCACCTAAATAAGCCCACAGACAATTCCCAATCTTGTCCTCCTCTACTTACAAACTTCACTGACATGCCTCCGTAACATTAAGGTTCCTGGAGAATAACGGCTCATGGCACAAATTGGTGATGATGTTGCATGACAGTTTGACTCCATGTTAGTATCCGCCAACCATATAAGTTTACTTTATGTCTAGTCCTTTCTTGTTTGAGGTCCTTATTCGTTATTTGCCATATTTTAGGAAAGCTTGCTATTTTCTCGACCTGTTTGTCCGTGCTTCGAATGAATTGGGCCACAATGTTTACAAGAAAATGGGTTATGTTATCTACCGACGGGTATTGAATTATTACTCGGGCAAGGACGATGATGAAGACGCCTTCGGTATGCCTTTTCGTTTCTCCAATGTACACATTTCCATAAATTTGTGCGATCTCCCGGTAGAACTTATCTATATGTGTTGAAACGTTTTTTACTCGGCAGGCTCCTTTTGTTGTATGACAGATCGCATTTATCTCATTCACATTCAATTCTGCAACAATTTAGATATGCGAAAGGCGCTTTCAAGAGACGTTGAACGCAAATCTGTCGTACCTCTCAAACGGCCTGTGAAGCCTGAAGATCTGGAATTCAACTAACCGAGAACAAAAACTTATTTTGAGGGCCGGTTTATTTGTCTTTTCAGCGCCCATCCAATCGGTTCTCTCGGTCCACTTTAGCATAAGACGAAATTTGCACATACCTTTTTTCAACAAATATAATTTATTTTCAGAAATCTATAGTTTTGCCTTTGTGTAGAAATGTTTTCGCCTACAGTTGGATTTCCGTAGTTGTTTCCTCATCGGGGGTGTCTGTGTTTCCCAGTTGGTACTGTAACCGACAGAGATTGATAACGTTTCCTAGACTTTCTATTATCTCTGCACACTGTGATTCATCACCAGCTTGGACTTGAATTCCGTCGACAACTTCCTTGCTGCAATTAAGCGCAGGTAATTCCACTGGAGCGGCCGTCTCCTGGGTAAAGAACTGCACTTGTGCGATGCCAAATTCGTTCCAGCAGGAAGAAGATTGCTGCAAAAGAAACCTAATACACTTTACGAACTTTGGAGACTGCACTGTTGGAAATTCAGGTGGCAGTGTGATTCTCACTCCGACCTTCGCGCTTGTGTTTACGTTGGGTTTGGACATTAGACGGGCCCGCAGTAAAAGACGTTTTTCCAACTTAGAATGTTTCTTTGGATGTCAGAATTCATAGACAAGTCATCTGAATACCTTTTCTCTGTAGAATATATAGGCTGTTACTCGTTCGCTGCAGTGATTTGAGAAACTCAACTCATTCAGGGATACAGGTGTCGTTTCATCAAAGTCATATTGTAGAAGGAAACAGCCGGGTGATGGGGTGGCAAAGTCGGACACTTTCACCTCGAAACTCGTTTCCGAAATAAAGGGCAAGGCTTTCATGGATTGGTTCCTATAAAGGTTGTTTGTTCAGTAAGCTCGGTTTAAAAAATCGACTCATTCACAAGAAAATCAAGGGTTATTTTTATGGTACTCTATATACATCTGAAAGGTGGATCCTAGGCATTACTTTTTCTCCGCGTGGACTACCATCTCCAAAAACACCAGATCGACGTGTAGCTCTCTAAGAAGATCCCTAAACTCAGGGGAAACTAGCGGACAAAACAGAGTTTACTCAGAAGAAGAACAAGGGTTTTATTTGCCTGACGTTTCGGATTCCGTAGGAAATCCTTAATCATCGGTGATGATAACGTAGTCATGGTCATGCGCAGATGGGGTCTCCATCTGCACAGGGTTTACTGTTATGCGTATTACAGTGGCCAATGGATGTCCAACCGAATGCCAGAACATCGACGGGCACTTTAAGCAGAATGTTCTGTACTATAAAAAGGCAGAGGGGACTTTTTCGTAACAAGTTATTCGTGATGAGAACTAGATTGTCTACCTTAACGGAATGAAACGGACTCAGTGTTGTCGAAAGCATGGCCCTTAATTTCTTACCAAGACTACCTCCATCCGAAGTACGTAACGATCACTGGTGGTTGGTCGTTGGGTCGACGCCCTTCACGTCTAAAGTTGCGATTGCATTACATTTTATTGTAATTCATTAACATAACTTTGCCAGAAAGTCTAAACGACAACAATCTCTCGTCAACAGGATGAGTCCCGTACTTTTGCATGACACAAAACCGGGTAATGCTGCAATGACTTAGAATCTGTTCGTGTGTAGTACCAACCTGAATCTCCCATGTTTCTCACATCTTACGTTAACAGACTCGCTCTCTAGATTACAGCGCCAAGGACCTGGGATCCCTCCAGCTTAGCAGTACCGGTTTTGAGTCGCTGTTGAATTTCAATGCTCTTCCAAGTGCAAGGTTCGCGGTTATGTAAATTTTCAAGTTAACCTAATGTTATGGGACGAATTTGGAGAAATCACATCGACAAGTTACGTTGAAGTGTTGCAAAGGGGTAGCCGGCCGGGTTCCCCTATATGCCCATGAATCCGTAGTCATAGTTCACGATATTGTGCTCTTGCACGGTCACGGATTCGGCCGTTATCTCATGAGGTAAGACGCAATTTATTGCCACAATCATATGCCAGAAAGCACATAAAAATGCTAGGGTACCCACTGTTGAGTCAAACCTCTCACAGCTGCGTCATGTAGCCGTACGAATTCAGTGAAACCCGTTAGTCTCAGTTTTTAGCTAGTGCGGGCGCTGTCAGCATAGTAAGTCATTCCCTATCACAGTCATCTCTGCTTCAGTCGGATTCCACATCTAGGAACTGTTAGTTTTGTCAAAGGATGGATTCAGAATATACTCGAGTAATTATCAAAACTTAGCTGACAAGCTTTGATCGCTCAACTTGGTATGTGTCGGGCTCGTTCACTTGTCTTTGGCTGTCATTGCTCTGGTCCCCATGACCGTAAGTAATAAGCAGCGGGCTTTATAAACCCTTAATTCAATTTAAAGATGTTAAATGTAAAAACTCACGCGGCCTATTCCGTAAGTGATGTCGCACTGTCTGAGAAATTAAATAGTGTAACCTTTTAAATTGGCACACAGGTTCCTGCCAACCGGGAGTTCGGCTCAGTCTAGCCTCGGAGTTATGTTGAATTTTGATTGGGTGGAGTAAATTAAGTATCCAAACATAAAGGTGCGACTATCCAGGAGCGAGTATATGTCATGCTAGTTGGTGACGCCGTACTCCAAGAAAACTGAGCGTACTATAATCTGACGACATTACTTCTCCTTATCGATTCATGTATCACATAAAAGTCCCAACGATATTACTGGGTTTAACTTAAGATAGACCTAGAAACCGTTGCTGTTAATGATCAAAATTGTCCGGCTCTGTGTGAAACGATACAAGAACATGTTGAATGGCGTACTCCCCGTAGTCAGAATATAAAATCAGAGTTTGGATTCTAGCTAATGAAGGGGGAACCCATATCAGCTACTGCTCTCTGATTACGGATCTCGAAACGCTATGAGAATAAAAGTATTGTCCCAGCGATCGAGTCGTCTTCTTCTCGAAGAAGGACTTCTTGTATATTTTGCATTCACAGGGACATTATAACATGTGGGCGCTATCTCTATGCACATAGACTCCAGAGAGTATGTCGAATAACGCAACTGAAGACCATTTTCATGAGTAATCTACCCTCCACAGCCGCAGAATCCGCTTACTCAACGGGGTTGTTGCAGGCCGGCTTTTCGGAGTCGTAGTCGGTATTTTCAATATGGCTAGAGCTAATTAAATATACTTATGGCAATTTTTGGTCTCTAGGTGTCTTTTAAAGACAGAATTGCGATGGATAAATGTCAAGGTTGGGCTCCTAAATTATGCGTGTTGCTCATTAAGGGTGGCACTACGTCTTCAATTCTGAATAGATCGATATCAGTCTGCCTAGGGCAGATATTTTACTAACCGCAAGATCTGCAGTTTCTAAATGAATCGACCTTTCATAAACAATAAGCTAGATAAAGCTGGATGAGTTCTAGAACAAAGGGTAAATCAATTGTGTTTATGATCGTATATTCACTGGTTATCGCAAAAGAAATTATAGTAGGATATGCGATGCATCCACTAGCTGATAACGTCAGGGTCTTCGTGATAGAATGTCATGCATAGTTTGCATAATACACTCACGTCTGCAAGACGCCTGTAACGTCAAGAAAATGTCAGGTTTCTGAAATATAGATAGTGCTATAGTGGGAAAATTACTACACGAATTGCAAGCTACACTTATACTTTTCCATGTGCATGAAAAGACACACCAATTTTTCGTACTCTAGAAACAAACAGAAATTGGGAAGCGGATATATGTCCCCTCGTGTTAGCGAATTCCCTCCTGCGCATTATTCATGTGGATTAGAACACAACACACTTATTGCATTATTGGTACAAAATAAAACAATCTGTAAGGCATAATAAGAAGCACATAAGTCGGCAATATTTGCGTCCAATCGAGTAAACAGTACAACAGCTTGGTAAATGCTCACCATCCGTATAAAATCATTCGGTTAAACTCAATAGGAATTAATATAGCTACAACCCTGAAAGAAAAACA